TTTGTGAATTTGCTTTCTAAATTGTCAGCGGTTATTAATTTTTTAAATACTTAACCTGTACTTTTAGGTTTTTTTACTTGTTAAATCATTCAGAGATATTATGGAGTTCTTTGTGTGCGTATGCCTTTTCTCTTTTTTTTTTTAAGTTTTTGCTTATGTTGCTGATAGCGGCATTTATACATAATTCAGGATGTTCAGTTCTAGAGTTTGTCAAGGATGCCAAGAGAGTGGGGAGATCCTTTTGTGTTAGGATATAGTTACATGAACACATATTTTCAGCAGCAAATTTGCTTCAAAATCGGCTCCTGAATTTCTGCCCCAACTGTTGAATGCCCTTGCTTCTGCTAATGTATTTGGTTTTGTAATCCCAGTTTGTTGAATGTAAATCAACAGCAAACACGCACATTTTTATTTTCTTTTAAGATGGATCAATTCACCCAGTTTGCGATCCTTCAGCTAGTTAAACCAATACCAGTGAGGGGTGATGACCTCTGGTTGGAAGGGGGAGCCTATCACATGGTCTTGGTTGCCAAGAAAGTGTTTGTGTGTATATCTGAGATACAAAAATAGAGCTAGCTTGTTTATCTTGCTGCAATATGTGTCACTGAAACCAAATGATAAATAAACTCTGTCTGGCCTACCTTGGTCTTTCATCTTTCTAGCTGAAATGACAACAATTCTAACTGTAATATTTTTGCTTGTTTTCTTTTTGTTTGTATTAATCACTCAAGGGAGATCTTGCCACATGTTTGACCTCTACTGAGGTGGAGAAGAAATCCTTTGAATCTCAAAAAAAAAGTCTTGCTGCAGAAAATCAGCACTTAAGAGAATCTCTAGAGAAGGAAGAAAAAGCTTTGGCCTCACTTCAGGAAGAATTAAGGAAGCTAAGACAACAAATTAGAAACTTAGAAGATAAAGGTACTAGCACTGAGTCTATTGTAATGGAAAATCAGAAACTAAGGGAACATTTGGAAGAGGAAAAACAAAGAAACCACAACTTTCTCAGGCAAAAGGAAACACTCTTTGCAGAGGCACAGATGTTAAGGAGAGAACTGGACAAAGAACGTCATGTTACAGAAGCTCTAAAAAAAGAACTGGAACAGTTAAGTTCTCATCAAATACCTGACAGTGCTGATGATGATACTTTAAGAGAAAATCAAGAAATAGAAACACTGCGAGGAAGACTAGTAGAACTAGAAAAAAAGCTAAACTTTGAGCAACAGCGCTCTGACTTATGGGAGAAGCTGTATGTTGAAGTGAAAGACCAAACTGAGAAACAAGAAATGAATGAAAAGGGACAGAAGAAAGGTGCTAAAGGGCAAAGTAAGACTAAAAAGAAATCAAAGGAAACATTTTTTGGTTCCGTTAAAGAAACTTTTGATGCTATGAAAAATTCCACAAAAGAGTTTGTAAGACACCATAAAGAAAAGATTAAGCAGGCTAAAGAAGCAGTGAAAGAAAACCTGAAAAAATTCTCTGATTCTGTAAAGTCTACATTCAGGCACTTCAAAGACACCACAAAAAACATTTTTGATGAAAAGAAGAAGTCAAATGATAAAAGATACGAGGCAAACAAGAAAGCTCGAACTTTTTACCGAGAACATAACTCTTACGAGAATCTGAAGCCCACGCATTACAGGGGACCTAACATGCCAAAAGAATTTAGAGATGGAAGAAAACATCAATCTATGACATTTGAAAAAGATAGAGATTCACAGAAATGTCTCAATGATCCTTTGTGTAATAGAAAACATCAGTTTGTCCTAAAGGGCTGCTCTGGTATTTTTGAATGTGCTCATCAAGAATTCATTAGTCTCTTTAACAGCGTATCGGATCCTATCAGGGTGGATGAATTTAATCGGCTAATGAAAAAGTATTTGCAACAAGTTGTGCATAATTTTCATCACTGGAGAGAACTCGAAAACTTCATCAATAGGTTTTTTCATAATGGGGTATTTATACATGACCAGATGCTGTTCACTGATTTCGTTAATGATGTCAAGGATTACCTGGAAGATATGAAGGAATACCAAAATAGTAATGAAAATGTTTTTGAGGACTTGGACAAATACATCTACAGATACTACTTTCATTATGATCATTTACCCCAGTATGGACCCAGGTTTGTTTCCATGTTTCCTGAACTTGTTAACACAATGAAGCAGTCTTTGTAAAGACAACTACTGTCCTTGTTCTAGTAGGTGGTCTTTGTGTGTGTGTGTCTATACGTATATCCACACTAGAAGACTTTCTGAAGGACTCAGTGGAAAAATTATATTGTTATACAAAGTGGATCTGTGATACCTTACATATAAATTTTGTATGGAGGGGAGGGATGTTAGTTTGCGAGGCACTGCAGATCCACTGTAGATCCACTGTACATGGTAGAATCTAGCATTTCCTACTGAGTTCTTTAAAAAAATGTGCAACTGCAAGTAGGATTACTTTAGCCTGAACAGCCTGTCTGATGGAATGAGTAGTTCAGAAGCAGCATTGACGAGGACTTCCTTGTTGTCCTTCCCCAAAATAGAAGGTTTTTGGATATATTTGAGCAGTCCCAAAGTCCTGTTCTGGCAGGTATATTCCCTGCTGGCTTTTCAGGAATTTCACTACTCTCTTGTAGGTTAGTATAATACTGAGTTAGTCAGAACGCCCAGAGCAGAGCTACACAAATGGTAGGCTTTATTTCTGATCCTGACCCCAGCTACATTTTGTTCAGATGTGCTTACAACCTTGGCATGAATTGTTTCCTGCGTTACTTTACTGTATCTAATGGGGCTCTGTAGAAGCTCAGGAATCCTACTGAGTGGTTATAGATATGGCCCAATGGAGCTAGATATGGTGGACTCTTTCTACTGTGTAGACTTTGGTGAAAGAAAGTTAAGCAAGCAGCCTTAATGTATTGTGTGGAACTTGCTCTTTCTGGAATGCTTATGCATATATTTTATGTGGCTTATAATACCATTGCTATTACAAAATTGGCTACATAGTTTCTTGTAGTAATGTTAATTCTGATCAGGTAAGAAAAAATGTGATATATTAATTTACAATACACGAGAAGTTGTCCTTGTAGACGTAACAGAACTTTTCCCTGTGCTGGTATTCAGTGCAAAGCATATTTAGTATTTAGAGTAAGGTGCAGTTCTTCAGTCAGGTTTTTCTTTCGGACTTGTATTGTTCATTATTTCATGTGTTTTATTGCAGCAGGAAGTCTGAATACTTAACTACTTCGGGGTTACTAAATATTATGTGAGGTAGTACTTTCTCTTGTTAAAAGCTGAACCATGAGGACAACACTCCTATTATCAACTACCAAGTTGCCTTTTTAATGGGTAGTTTTGGCAAACACAACACGTTTTAAATTTTTATTTATAGTCCAAGTACTTCTTAATAATTAATTATTAAAATCAACTAATTTTCATTTAAATCCTTAATTTTTGAGCACTTTAATTCAGTTTGCAGAAAAACAGAATTTCAAATTCATTTATTGATAGTATTATACAAAAGTTTCTATGATACTGAGGATGAAAATAGCCTTGACTCAGCTTAGCAGAAGGCTAGAGATGTTAGACCTAAGGTAACAGCATGTAGTATAATGGGACTGTTTGTTTGCACCAAAAACTGCAACAGGTGTGCAACAGTGTTTTGTCAGTGCCTCTTCTCTCTGTACTTACTGTACATGAAAACCTCCAAAGTGCTTATATTTATGCAAAACACGCTTTCCTAAGGGTCTGTAAAGTTTTCACTATTTTCCTTACAAGAGAAAGGACTACTACTCAATACTAGCCTTAATACTAGTTTTGTTTTCAGCCAATCTCAGCATGTTAAAAGCTGTTCTTGACAATGTAATTGCATTTCAAAACGTTTTTAGAGAGATGCTTTCATAAGAGTAGTAATAAGCTTTTGTTTACTCCTTGCAGTCGACCTAAAAGGCCTTCTTTTACACAAACTGAAAATTCCAGACATGAAAAACAAGCTCAGAAGTACCACCACCGTAATAAAAGAGAAGGTAAATGGTATAAACATGGTCGCACTAATGGAAGACACATGGCAAATCTTGAAATAGAATTGGGGCAATTACCCTTTGATCCAAAATATTGAGTAATTTATGGTAAAAATAAGATTAGAATTAATAATTCTCATCTTCTCCAGAAACTAATTGTTTTTCAACAAAGCAGCAAGATGCAAGTTTTTTCTCTAAATAATACGATTTTTACACCTTTTTGTTAAAAGGCAGAAGTCAAGCTTTCTAATTTGCATACTCTGTACTGTTGCTGTAACTGTTCTTTGGAAGTGATGATAGTTTGGGTGCCAGCAGTATTGTTGCAGAAGCTAGGCATGCAATGACTTGTGTATGAAAAATATGCTTAATTGCATACCATTAGTGTAGTTCAAGCTTGAGTCATGCATAATGTACCAATAATTAACTCGTGTTCGATATACTAACTTCATCTCATCCTTCAAAAAATAGGGCTACATTATGGTAATGTATTTGTTAGTGTTTTGTAATCTTATACTTGCTTCTTGTCTTTGGGGGAGGGGCAGGGTCAAGAGCCTGTTGAATTGTGAAGAACTCGCTGTGCTGCATTCTAATCAGCTTGCTGATTTAAGCACTTGAAATGTCTTGCATATCTGCATATTGTAGAAGAAAAAATAAAGAGACATTGTGGGTAAAAGTCTTTATTTATAAAACAAACCTAGCATAGCTGTACAGTTCTATAAAAATGGTCCAGTCTTGTCTAATTTCTTATTGTTTAAGTAGTCGTATGGTAACTTTGGTCTTCCTGATGTTTTCTAGTGTTGTAAGGTAGGTCAGCACCCACCCTGCCATACTGCTACTGAAGTTGCCTTCAGGAAGAGGCTTAGCAGCCCATGGCTGCCTAATCAGACTCCCCCACTTGACTTACCCGTTTTCAGACTCACTACTCTCTCGCTTCTGGAGTACAAGATCTTCTAAGTGTAGTACTGCTACACAAAACTGATCTTATTAGGTTATTCTTATTCTAGAAACTGATCTTCAGGTATGATTCATATCAGTTTTTTTCCTGTAGATGTAGATGTGGCTTCCAACTCGTCCTTGAGGTACATGGGTGTGAAAGACAGTGGCCATTTTCTCATAGCCCCTTAAAGCTAGAAATGATGATATTTCCTGTAAATGAACATACATTAGTTTCCACAGTCAGAAAGTGTAGTTGGGAGCATCAGAACAGTGTTCCAAAGTCTTCTGAAAACCATCAATTCAACTGTCCCCTGGGAGTTTTATCCTTTATTTTAGGAAAGACTGCTAGAAAAAGAGGTACCAATTCTGTTTGATCCTTACTGGAGTAGATAGATGTTCACCAGACATGGTTGTTGGAGTACATGGACTTCATAAAAGAATTGAGGGGAAAATGTACTTTGCAGGCATTTTTGCTTTCAGTGTTGCTTACTTAAAAGTGTACAGTTTTGGGAACAAGACTGCACATTTTTTCCAATATGGCTCGAGGAGAATTCCATAAAACATTACTTCATGGCATGTAGAATTTGCACAAAGAGGAGGCCATACATGAATGTTAAGTATATATCACTGGAATGGTATCTATACTATATTATGGATTAGAGGGTTCAATTTTAATTCAAGCTGTGTTTTAAAAAGTTGTGGACAACAGTTTTTAAAAACCTTAACTATAACTCCCCTAATTTATTTTTTAAGTTGACTTCAAAACTAGTTTGTTTCAGCTTGCAGTTACCATACCTGTTCTAGCACACTGAAGAAGATCAAGTGACTGGGTAATAATGTATCATTATAAAACTCCTTATTAAGCCAGCCAAGTGGATTAGAGTAAAATATATCTGCTTCGTCAATATAGCTCTCATTTCCGGTTAGGTCTGGGGGACACTGAAGGAATCTCATTGTTAGAGGACAGTGAACATGACTAGGGAGAAAAACAAAACAAACATTTCAGGATAAACTGACCAATATCTAAGATTTGACTCATCACTTAAAGATACCTCACTCAAAACCAAAATTGAATAATCCCAGAGTCATACTTTCTTCCCTTCTGTACTTCATATGAAAGCAAAAGTAGAACAAGTGGATTTGGCTCCAGACTGCTGTGACTATGTTGTTAGCAGTTCACAGAAAGCAGATTTATCTTAATAAAAATACCATCTGTGTAACATCAGTTTCTTAAAAAGGTACTTTTCCATATCAGCTTCTCTGTTTATATCTACTTTGATGTTTTGTTCACTTGCCAGGATCTATTGCAAATGTTTTGGAATAGTGGCCTCAGTCACTGTATGTTGTAATTGCATTTCTTTACTTTCTAGCAGCAGAAGTAAAGGTAAAATTCATACAGCTTGACTGTAACAATTAGTCTTTAGTTTTGCTACAAAAGTTACCATAATGAAGGAGTATAACTTACTTTCAGAAGTCGTAAGACTTACTGCATATCTTCATACAAAGCTATTCTACAAAAACTGAATAAGGCTTAGGTGCTGAACATATTCCATGGTATAAGCATTTGGCTTATTTCCCCTATTCATTCTGTATTAACTGTATGAAAAATCAAAACTCTTCCTGTACATGTTTATCCATCTCAATTTATTAAGCTTGGTGGGGGGGGAGAAATCTTATGTATGGATTTTAATATAGTACACTTAACTATTTTACTACCTGTAAAATGGAGTAGAGTGGCACGGCATCATGATGAAGACAGAAGCTTGTGACTGGTAAGAGTTATTACAGAGTTGCTGTATGTGACTCATGACATCAAGAGAGCCTCGCTGGTGAATCAAGCCTGTATACAGGGCTGGGAGTAAGTTTGATAAAAGCAGGAAACTTGCTGCAGGTTTCTTCCATGCTTTCAGGTGTTTCAAGGAATATCCTATAGGAACATTTTGAAATAAGCAAATACTAACAGTTCCACACAGTATTTTTGAAAGTACCCTAACTTACTGGAAAACCATTACTCAGTTGATAACAGTATCTTGCTTTGAGGTATTTTAATACAGTGTTCTTTCAGTCTTTACTCTTTGAATGGAAATAAAAAGGTTAGATTTTGCCCTTACTAACTCTTGGATTTAACAGTGTAAATGTTAAGCCCGTACCTGTCTTTTGAAGTACAGAAGTACAATTACAGAGCCCGTGCTTTGTCTCTTTGGAGCTTAATTTTAATTCCTTGTGGGGAAAAATAATCCATTCAGTAGTTTGGATGAATGATATGTTGCAACTTACTGATGTGTTCTGATTCACGCATGTCCAAGTAGAGCCTGAATAAATGGTAACTACACATGCTTTGGTATGGCTGTGGTATTCTTTCTCCAACATGCTGAAAGCTACAGCATTCCCTTATTGCTACTCATTTTTAAGCTACTATCCTTGGAAAAGCTTACTCCCCCATCTTTTCCCATCTCCCATCCCTGCCCCTTTCCCCCACTTTTCTTGAAGGAGACAATACTAGGAAGAGACATTTCTCCTGGTGGGAGATAGCTGTATAAACCTGTTTCTCATCAACCACAACTTAAACAAACCTGGCAGAGAAGACAGCATCATGTTGCAACCAGTCTGGAAACCCTTAAAGTCATATGCTTGTCAGTATTAGCAGATAAAAGTATTTTATGCAGCCTTGCTCTGTGACCACCTTTACTCAATCACAAGGAACAAGTTAGAATAGGCCTGCTTCAGAAGTCAGTAACAAGTAAGTTAAATTAGACTTCAGTTGGTCTATTCTGACAAACTGCAGACCTTTATCTTTGATGAAAACAAAGTCCACTAATTAAGTGGAAGCATTCTGTTACAGGCATTTTTTTTTTTACTGCTTTTGTGAGGTGCAAGTAGCTTATCTTTAAATGTGCTTGGAAATGACTTTGAAATTCTCATGGGCTTTTTTTCTGCTTTTATTTATAATGTTTTGAGCAATTTAAGGACCTCTTTTTAACTACTGAGTTATTGGAAATAACATTGGTAATTTTTTTCTTTAGTAAAGTATCCAAACAGATGATAATAAGCTCTTGCTAATTGCATAGGTGACCTCATCCCCTTATAGACATGAAAGTTAAGGGGGATATTAACAAAAAATAATGGTCTGACTGGAATTTGCTGCATGTGAAGTAGAACTGATTCATCTTAAATCTGCTATTGAACTAAGCCAAGACATATTACATCTCAGCAAAGAGCAAAATTATTGAAATAAGATTTACTTTTGTTTAGACTAGCAAAACAGGTTAAAGAAAATTACAATTTTCATTGATTCATCTGTTTTGAGCTTGTATTTAAACTAAAGCTATACAGCTTCATGTTCCAGAAGTTTTAATCTTTCCTTTATAGCTTTTCAGCATACTAGAATTTACATCATGATTTTACTTTTCCTATAGGTACACTACTGTAATTAATATGTAGTTTTGTAAAATATAAAAGATTTCCATATTAGGTTCTTTTCTGTGTTTAAAAGAAAAAAAAACACAAAACAGGAAAAAAGACAAATAAATACTTTAAAAGTTTGTTAATGTATCAGAAAAATCTTTGTTAGCAAAAGCAATGTGCTTTCCAGTTTAAACTGTGGACAGATTCTCTTTAATTTTTAAGTTAACCCTGTTAGTTTACGGACCTTATTCGTGTTTGAACAAGTTCACCTTACTATTCCTGAAGGAAAAAGCTATCACATTTAACTGCTCTAAAACTTGTGTGGGAAGTAGCCTCCAGCTGGTGGTTGGTCAAGAGCAGACAGAAAACTAGCATCATCTACTGACACACCTGAATCTGGAAAAGGATAATTCTCATTTTTGAATACTTTTAAATTTTTTGTTGCATACTCAAAGGCATTTGTCAGGCATATTTGAGAGAACCAGGTGGAAAAATACTACAAAGGAGCCAAGGAACAAAATTCACTGTGAGGATGGCATTGCTAAAAATTCAGCAGTCACTGAGGCATTTTTCTATTTTTTGCAGGAAGTACGTTTATCCATGCTAAGGATTCTCCATCTGCATTTCAGTCAGTTACTGTTCCTTTTTTTTTTTTCTCTCCTTTTTCCTAGTTGTAAGAAAAGGTTAGGATAGTTCTAAGACTCTTCTGTCAAATACCTACATTGACTAGTAACAGTCTCTGTTTTAGGTAAAAATGACATACAGGGAAGGCTGCAAGACATTTGAAACCAATGCTTACCACAAAAAACCATGCAAAAGGGTAGTACTGGATAGATGAACCTGAATTCTTTATGGCTCAGCATGCTGTAATAAAACAGATACAATACTACAGTGAGAAAGTTAAATGCATTGGTTCTGTTGACAAAATGTGTTTTAGAGCATTGAGGACTGGAAGAAAAGCACTTGCATGTACCAAGAAGCTTTTGGCATTGAAGCAGTTTAGAGCAAAAATTCAAATTGTCACTTTTAAAGAATATAATTAGTACATTCAAATTAAGATTATTTGGTCACTTTAAACCAACCACTAATATAAGTACCTGGCTACTACTATAGCAATTAAATGGTCTGATTCTATGACTCCTAGATATAACTTAGCTAGTACTTCACCAATTTGCTTTCTGTAATAGAACACAATAAAAAGTGTGTATGAGAAGCTAAGATTCAAGTACACATTTGTATCTACAAAGTAACATTCACCTCTGCTAATAAAACTTCACACAATTTCCTATGCCCACTTCTGGGGCTTTTTTGGGGATTACTGCAATACTTGTGTCATGAGAACTAAACAGGTTCTTGCAAGGCTAAGGGAGATGATAAGGGCCTAAAACAAAGAAAGATGCATCCAGTTTTGAGTTGGACTGAAAGAAGAGATGGCATTTGTGGCCTTGTTAGTGTTTTGCTGTATTCTGTTACTACTGTAGTCTAATACCATTTATTACTTAGTATTTATTAATTTGCTCTATCTTTTCTTGTCTGAAAGTGTCTCTCATTTAAGTTAATTCTGATGCTTTAGAAACAGCTCACCTTTTATTCTAATACTCAAGACAGTCTGTTAAATGTTAAGAGCCATGTGTAGACTTGTGAATGGAGTAAGTTCTAGAGGCATAAGAACAACCCATCTTACTGGGGATGTATTAAAGAACCAAATGAAACAGTGTTTTCATTATCGGGCTTCTAGTAAACACAGTTTCCTAACTAGTTCTGTTGTTACTACTTGTTAGGCGATTGAGTGTTGGGCTTTTTTCATTTGCCATTGAATTTCATGCCGAATTATTCTTTAAGGGTCTAATCAATTCTAAAAATACGTGTTTGGTAATGACAAAAGTAGTGATAGTACATAAAATTCTAGAAACTATTGTATAATTAACTGCATTTCTTAAGAGTGTTTGAGTAGTTTATAAAGTTTTCTATCACTTAACCTGAATACTATGCTTTTTTGTTCTAGAGAGGACATGAGCTTTGAAAAGAACACCACCAGTGAAAGACAGTAGTTAAGAGAAATTACCTGTATACCAACACTGTCCAAATCACTGCCATTAGAAAGATGCGATACCTTTTTGGTGCCAGCACACAGCCATGAATAAAGAAAGGCAGATGGGTACCCAAGATGACTGGTAGTCCCTGAGTGAAGTACCAATGCCAAGGGTGAGATCCGTAAAACGTTCCCAAATTCTGCAGCACGTTGAATTTCAAGAAGTTCAGCTGAACCAGTACCCACTGGGAGATTGGGTTAAATACAAATCCAAAGTGAAAACCAACAGCTAAACTGAATTAGTCATCACTAGCCTTAAATTATATAGCATTTTCATTCATACTTTTTTTTTCTACAAAGACTCATCACTGACTTCCTATACTTAGCAGTTAAACATAGAAATGTATAAGTTTTGTAGTTTGTTGATAACTATTGATTTATTGAGAGCTGAGCATACTGATTCTAAGTAACAGTGTTATCATTTAAAATAACTGAGAAGTCAGTATTCAAGGGTTTATAGCTTAGAATGTATTTAGAGATCATAGGCCAGACACAGTCACAGAAATAGCAGAAGTTGAAGAAGTCTGAAACATCCATCTATGTTAAAATGGTAAAAGCAAAGCTTTTTCTTGTAAGTCAAGTTTGAAACAACTTACCTCACCAAAAAACACACGGTCAATTATTAAAGAGGTTCCTATTGTGACCAATCTGCAAAAAGGGAAAGTTGGTTGCACTGACATTGGTTTTGTATCAGAATCTTATCTTCTCCAAATAGCTGTCAAAACTCCCTGATTCCTAATCTTTTTTGAGATTATCCATACTCACGGCCATTTTACAGTGGCGAGTTGCCATCACCTGATATACTTGGCACTAATCCTAGTTTAAGCTGGAATGCTGTTCATGTCTCATCCTCATGAAATCTCTCCTAGTGCTTTTTTTGCAGCATATACATTAATTTAAAGGAAGCATGCCCCTTCTTTAAACTTTTGCAAAAGGACTCCTTTTTTTGTTTGTTTGTTTTACATGAAATCAGCTTTTTTGGGTTGTCCGCCTTTGCGGTGGTAAGATCAGTATTAAGATATAGCTGTGCACAGTTATAGTTTAAACTGAGAAAGAACTTACCCAACTGGAATGCAGTTGTGTAGGATAAGGTCTGCTTTCCTCTGTTCTTGCAAGAAATGACTGAATACCAATGGTATCCATGGGATAACAGCAGTGGGACGAATAACAATTGCAAATGCTATCAAAGCTATGTATTTGCAACTAGAATGGGGGAACATAAGAAAAACAAAAGTTTATCAAAGGTTTGGCCAATTATTTTGCAGACAGTGACACTTCAACAATTTAAATACTGTCATGTCTCTTAACCAAAAGCTTTTCATACTGCAGATAACTTTGATTCTCTCAGTGCAGATACCCTGTTTTGCTTGGAAGGCTGGCAACTATATAATTGCTTTATTAGTAATGGAGTTGCTAACTAGAAGCACATACTTGCTTTAAAATAGAGGGCTGGTAAAGAAAGTTCTGACCACAAATTCACCTATATCTGAACCCAGCTTTTGTTACCTTTTTCAAGTTATCACAAATTCCAGTCCTTTAAAGTTTAAATTAAAGTTTCCCATAAAGTGATACTTTGCATAACAGAACTGGAGAATAGTAATTTTACATACCAGCTATATCACAGCTTCAAAAAAATTTCTAGAGGCAAAACCACAATTGCTGTTCCTTCCATGATCTAGAGCTCTTAGTACATGAATGAGGTGGTTTTGGTTGCCTTATATTTTATGGTAAAAGCATTTTAAACAGTATCAGTAGGCTGGTGTTATCCCAAGCCAAAAACCATCAGTATTGTTAGTAGAAAGTTTCTCACCTGCTCGATATCTTGGAACCTTTTATCGGATAGTAGGAAAGAGCAAAAGTGGTAAGAAGAGTTTCCATGGTGTTTGTTAGAGTTCTGGTACAGGAATACCATGTAAACCAGGAACACAGCTGGCAGAAGTACTGAAAGTAATTATGAACAACAGGATGCACAGGGAGAAATGTTAAAACAAATTCTGTAGTTTTAAGTGGAGGTGATAATTCTTGAAAGTGACTTCTTACTATGCTGTTGTTTACACTGCAACAGTGTTTATTAGCAGGCAAAAAAAATTTTTAAAGGCTGAAACTCACCACGCACTTTGCTGTTTCTGCATTTTCAAGGTGTTGCACTAATGAGTAAAGCTTCACATCAGCAAAAGCTGCCAGCACTGCCTGTGCAAGTCTAGGGACCCATATCTATGTAAGCAGAGAGAAAATTCTACTTGCAACAAATCTGTTAAATTCCAAGTTCAAAGAGAAGACTAACAAATTAGTGAATGACTGTTCAGACATGAAAAAAGTGAATTACTGAGTGTTCTCTATAGCTTTTTTTAAAAAAAAAAAAAACCAAACTGTAAGGTCTTTTGGTAAGACTTGTATTTCTGCCAAAACAAAGTAAGTCTAAAGTTCAATGGAAAGAGTTCCAAAATTGAAAGTTGAATTCTTTGCCATTCATTCATCTCCAACGGAGGCCAAAAGGGGCTGTTGCTACTGAGTTTAGTACAGATATATATTATTAAACACTTCAGAAAACAGAACCACTTAGCAATTATGATGCAGCAGCAAACAATATCAGTATGAAACTCAAGGAGATTGATGGAGGCCAAGAGTAATCCCCTGCAGTCACAGGCATCACTACTGTGACTGGAGGCTATGAATGAGTTCTACACCCATGCGAAACACTTCAGTAAGGTCTCTGTGCTCATATATCTCTAGCTGCTGGATTCAAGGCTTTGTATTTTACCTGGACAACGATAAAAATGCACTGAATTTAAACACAATGCTTTTAAATTGCATTTTAGTAGCAGGTGTGACTTTTGAGTATACTCACCAGCAGCTGAACATCGTCCTTAGCCAGCAGCTGTAAAGCTTTGTAGATGCTTGCAAAGATCAGTGGGTATGAGTAGCCCCTTAAGCCATGTGCCCACTCCCACGGCAGGTAGCCATAATTATTGCTATTAAGAATAGATCACGAACAACCAGGCCAGTAAATTTCATTGGAGCTGTGTTACTCTCGGACTGGTCCGGGCCGAGACGCCCGCCCTCGCGGCCAGAAGCGGTGGCATTTCTGAACTGGCCGAGCTGCCGTGGGAGCCCCTTTCCTGGGCGG